ATTAAATTCAGGGCTGGCCTTGGCCTGCTGGGGAGCCGGATCCCACAGGGCCAACCAGGTAGTTGGAGTTCCGGCCTTAGCGGCTTGGGAAACATGTTGTTGTATGTGTGCCCTCAATCCCAATAGAACAGAAAGGTGGAGGAGATGGAATTGCAGCATGAACGTGTCCCAGCGGGGGCTGCTTCTTCTCTTTCCTCTTTTCTCTGTCTCTCTGGCAAGCACTTGCACCCTCTGGTAAAAATAAAATAAAAAGAATAATTCAAATTCAAGATAGGGTATTTTCCTCTTCATTGTCCAAAAACTAATTACAGACATTGCTTTCTTCCCTCCCTCTCTTCTTTTTTCTTTGTAAATTTATCATGCTAGCATGTCCCACCACCAATAACTTCCTTTTAAAGGATTCGAAATGCTTTTTTATCACATAAATATGTTCATGTTTCCTTTCATTTTCTGGGGGGGAACTGGTCTTGCTAAATAGAGCCTCTGACAGAAAACCTTGTTTCAGTTGTTTTACGCCATTTCCCCTCTAGTGGGCTCAGGAGGCCTTTTTCTTCCTTCTCACTGAACCTCAGGAATGGTGTCTAGGCAAGTGCCAAGCCAAAGAAGCAAGAAATATTTAAATTCCACTCTCCAGGCAGTTTTTATAACTGTCGGGAACAACTTCTTGTTTAAGAAATGTTGTTTGGTTTGTTAAGGCTGCCCTTTTCTCCTGGCTGCACCGTGTGTGTTTATTTATCCATTTTTTTTAAAACATGTGAACGGCTGATGCAAACACCACAGTGTACATGTATTGTGAAGCACACTGGGCCCTGTCGTCGCAGGGCCTCTATGTAGCCAGGATAGATGCTGGAAAACCCGGTGGGCTCGAGGTTACAAGCCTCCTCATTCATAGCCTCTTACATCTCCACAAGCTGCCTATTGAGTGGTTGAAACGAATTGGTTATTGGGTGTGGAAGTTAGCAAAAATATTGTTTTAACTTTAAAAATATAGTGAATTCTTTATGGTACTAGATCCCCATATTCTCACCATCCAGATTTAACAGATGTTGAGATTTGGGGCAACGTAAAAATGTATCAGCTGGAACACAGCTGTGGGACTCAAGGATAAGCAGGATGATAGAAGGGAGAGGTTGGAGGCAGGCATCCCTACCTAAGTAAGAAACTGAAAGAAAAGAAAAATCCCAGTAGAGTCAGGGACTCTAAAATCATAATTACTTGTGTCCATTTGGTTCAGAAGCAAGCACCACTCTTCAGAAACCCCGCAGGGCTTTCTCTTACAGTAATGGGGTAATAGTGTTTTATTGATAACCCTATGTCATTTATAAAAGATTAAATTAAAAAAAAAAACCAGAAAAACAAAGAAGATGACATTTCTTTCATTCATGCTGTGGCTAGAGAAAGAAAACCATTTGGAAAACATTTATGTAAATGTAGAAGGTTTGAATATCAAGTTTGACTCTCAGTGTGGATATTTTATGGAAAGCTTGACACATTTCTCTTTGATGCTCATGCCACTGGGAAGAGTCATAAAAAGCATTCACTGGGATCCAGCAGATGGTATGGTGGTTAAGGCACTGGACTCCATGGCCTATTCCATGGTTCAAGTCTTGGACCTGGCTGCTTGAAACTCATGCTGGGCACATGTGCATGCATGCCCAAAATCCCAAGAGGAGAATGGAAGAAAAGGGAGTGCAGCATGTCCATCCCCTCCGGGTGGTGATTTCTTACTTTCCCCCTTTCTCTGTGTCTTTCCAGCAAGTACATAAGCCACATGGCAAAAAAAACTAAAAGCAAGGGGCCAGCAGGTGGCATAGTGGTTAAGGTGCTGGACTCCCATATGGCCGACTACAGTTCAAGTCCTAGACCCAGAGGCTTGAAACTCATATCGGGTATGTGTATGTGCGTGCCCAAAACCTGAGAGGGGAATGGAGGAAAAGGGCTTGCAGTGTGGCCATCCCTTTTGGGGAGTCATTTCTCACTTTCTCTCTCTGTCTCTCTGGCAAGCACATGTCCTCTATAGCAAAAAACCTCTCTAAAAAAAAATTAAAAATTAAAAAATTAAAAAAAAACTAAAAGCAAAACAAGCAAAAAAGTGTTCACTGGAAATACAATTGTCTTTGAATTTTTGATAATTTTTTTAAAGTAAACTTTTTATTGAAGAATAACATACATGTAGAAAAGTACCTAAATCAGAAATGATATATATTTATAGCACGAACACGCCTGGGTAACCTACCCCCAAATCCCCTGGTAACCATCATAACTCCTTTCAGTCATGATAAATACTCCCGATTTTTTGCATCAGAGATGAGTTCTGATTTTTAAAATTTTAATAAACTACCCAGTTTAGGGAAAAATACTATTCATAATTGTTCATAATTTGTTTTTCAAGCAAACACATTCTGAGTATTACTTTTTTATGTGTAAATATTCAAGTCCATTCATCTAAAATTCCTTCTCCTTCCTAAGCAGTGCTTGACTGATATGGTGATGATAACAAAAGTGACTTTTTCATTTTTATTTTATTTATTTTTTGTTGGTGGGAGATAGTGAGAAGGAAAGTGAGAAATCCCCCACCCAGGGAGATGACCATACAGCAATTCTTTGTCTCCATTCTCCTCCGGATTTGGGGCATGTACCCTCACATATCTGGCACATTTTTTCAAGTTGCTCGGTCCAGGACTTGAACTGTGAAGTCAACCATGTGGGATCCAGCCACCTTAACCTCCTTGAGCTAGCTTTAAAAGTGTATTCTATATAGAGTTGGCTCGATAGCATAGTGATTAAAGCAGCCAGATCCCACATGGCTGCCTGTGGAATCCCAGTCCAGTGGCCTGGAAAACCCTCTAGGAGCATGTGTGTGCATGCTCAAAATCCCAAAAGGATTGAGAAACGGAGGATGAGGGATCGTAGCATGATCCTGCCCTATTCCAGGGTGCTTTCTCCCTCTCCCTCCCTTTCATATAAATTGAATCATACTATACTAGGTACTTGTCTGGCTGCTTGGGATTAACGTTATAGGTTGATCCGAATCACTGGGTGTAGTTCTAGCTATAGATCGTCCTTTCTCTTTGCTGTGTGTTAGTCCATGATGTGGCTGTGTTATTTTATTTATTCCAGTGGTGAGCACTCGGGGACGTTTCCAGGTTTTGGCTACCTTTTAAAGAGTTCTGCTGGGACCAGCAAATGGTGTAGTGGTTACGTTGCTGGACTCTCATGTAGTCAACTGAGGATCGAGTCCCAGACCTGGTAGCTTGAAACTCATGCTGGGCACATGTGCGTGTGTGTCCAAAATCCCAAGGGGAGAATGGAGAAGGGACTGCGGCATGGCCATCACCCCTTGGAGTGACTTCTTGCCTTTTCTGTCTTTCTGTCTCTCTCTGTCTCTCCAGTGAGTACACTACACCTTGTAGCAAAAATCTCTCTTAAAAAAAATAAAAGTGCTGCTTATGATAGTCTTGTATGCATCTTTTGGTGGACATATGTACGTATTTCTTTTAGACATATGCCTAGGAATGAAATCGCTAAATCATCAGATATGCACAAGATTAACCAGTTTTCCCATCCTCAGCACAGAGAGTTCCAATTGCTGCTCATCTCCCATGCTTGGAATTCTCTGTGTTTAACCACTCAGGTGCGTGGTAGAGGTAGTCTCATTTGGTTTTGATTTGCATTTCCTTGATGAGTAATGAAGTTGATCTCTTTCTTATGTTTATTAGCAACTTAGATATACTCCTTTGTGAAATGTATATTTAAATCTTTTGCATATTTTTCTATTCCTTCGTCTTCAATTTCTTAGTAAACTAGGAGATTTTAAAGAAGGAGGACAACAGGCATAAATCAGATTATAAGGTTAAAATAATTAGTTCGGAATGTGTTAATTTGAGATACTTAGGAGGCATTTATGTGGAGAGGTCAAAGAGATATTGAGCTGTATGGATCTGGAGTTTACAAGAAAGTTCTGGGCTGGAGATATACAATTTGGAGTCCCTGGCATGTAGATAGCATTTCAGTTAAAGAGCAAATGAGCTCATCCACAGAGAGTACACAAGGAGAAAAAGCCTTAGGACTGATTCTGAGGTTCCTTCATAACTTGGAAATGAAGAAAATGTCAGCAAGGATCCTGAGAAGGAGCCACTGAGAGGCAGGAGTAACTTTGGGAAGATGGGAGTAGTAGAAGCCAAGGAAAAAAAATTTCACAACAGGGTGTGTCCAAGGCCCAGTTGCAGAGGTGCATGCTGCTAAGATGGTATGTTCTCCAGGCTGAGTCCCCCTGGGAAACCTGGTTTTAGTTCTGGTCCAATCTAAGGATGGGTCACAGTGGCATGTACCTGTAATCCCAAGTGACTCAGGAGGCTGAGGCAGGAAGACCATAAGGTCAAGGCTGGCCTGGGAAACATAGGAAGACCTTGTCTTTTTTAAAGAAAATGCAGGATGGGGCTGGCAGGTGGCATGGTTAAAACACTGAACTCCCATATGGCTGACCATAGTTCACAGTCCTGGACCTGGTGGCTTGCTTTCTTGCTTTCTCGCTCTCTGTGTGTCTCTGGTGAGCATACATGCCCTGTGACAAACTTAAATAGTAATAATAAATTTAATTAACTAATTAATTAAATTTAAAAGGCAGAGGAGGGGTCAAGAGGTGGCTGGCGTGGTAGTTAAGGCACTGGATTTCCACATGGCGGATCACAGTTCAAGTCCTAGACCCGACGGTTTAAAAATAACACCAGGCACGTGGGTGTGCATACTCAAAATCCCAGGAGGAGAGTGGAGGAGAAGGGATTGTGGCATGGCCATCCCCCCTGGGGGGTGATTTCTCACTTTCCCTCTCCTGTCTCTCTGGCACATGCACGTGCCCTCTGGGAAAAAAAAAAAAAAAAAAAACTAAAAGAAATGAAAAGAAAACCGGCAGAGATCGGGGAGTGTTCACAGTGTCAAACTGTTCATTTTGTGTTGATTTTTCAAAAATACACATTCTGTCTTTTTTCATTTCTCCCTAGCCATCATTGTATACAGACTGCCATGGACCTGGAAATGCAGCAAGTTCCTGATGAAGTCTATCCATGCAGGGTTAAATTCTGTGGCTGCCATTCTTGCAATTATTGCTCTGGTCTCTGCATTCGATTACCACAATACCCTTAGCATTCCCAACATGTACAGTTTGCACAGCTGGATTGGACTGATAGTTGTCATACTCTACATCTTACAGGTCAGTGTCTCCGTGTATTTATAGTTAAGGTATTTAAAATAGAACAATCCAGAGTGTAGATATTTTCCAAACATTCTTTATATTTGTCTCTATTATAACTGTTTTCTGGTGGGGGGACAGAACTGAAGAATTTATAGTCCGTGAGTTTGAATGTGAGAATTAAAATACTGACATATGTGGGGCGGGAAATTGTTATCTCCTAATATCTAGACTGAATTGCTCACATTTAAGTTCCATCTGCAGAATAAACTAACATAGGCAAGAGCCACAGAGTTTTTTCTCACATTAGCTATTGCTTCTATTTTCTAGGTTTACCTTTATAAAAGAAGAGCTTAGTTTATAAATCTTTGTGTTTTTTTTTAATGGTACAGTGATCATTTTATTTTCCCATCTCCCCTTCACTTTGTAAAGGCACATGTTCTTCAGAGCAATGTATTTAAACATAATTTAATAGACTATGAGAGGAATTTAGTTGATCTAGTAAAAGCAACTTTAGTTGCTAAAGTAAAAGTTAATTAAAAACAATTTTTTTTTTTTGGAGAGGTTTTTGCTATAGGGCATGTGCGCTTGCCAGAAAGACAAAGAGAGACAGAGAGACAGAAAGCGAGAAATCACTCCCCAGGGGGGATGGCCATGCCACAATCCCTTCTCCCCCATTCTCCTCTCAGGATCTTGGGCATGCATGCACATGCGCCTGGCATGAGTTTAAGCCACCAGGTCTGGGACTCAAACTGTGGTTGACTACATGGGAGTGCAGCAACATAGCCATTACTCTAACTGCTGGTCCCCAGTATAGTTTTTCAAAGCATGTATGTAGTGTGTAATAATTTAATAAAAAATATAGGCATATTCATTGTCTTCAGTAATTAGTATTTCATAATGTACACATTCAATAACAGTTCTATTAGTTTTTTTTTTTTGGGGGGGGAGTATATATTGAATTATCAGTGACAGTTTATTTAACTCTGGTATACAGTTCCAAAATCTATTCCATTTGTTTACATGTATTCTTGTGTCTGCTACTCATTTTTTCCTGAACTGCCCCCCAAACCCATCCCTTGAAGCTTCTGGTATCTGACAAAAGATGTTGAACAGATTTCCATATTCTTTTAGTCATTTGTATATATTCTTTTTATATTCTTTTAAGAGTTGTCTGTTCAGGTTGATTGCCTGTTTTTCTTTTTCTTTTTATATAGAGAAATTTTTGCTATAGGGCATGTATGCTCACCAGAGAGACAGAGAAAGAAAGAGAAAGAAAGCGAGAAATTACCCTCTTCCTCCCAGGGAGGATGGCCAAACTGAAATCTCTTCTCCTCTATTCTTCTCTCAGTATTTTGGGCACATACACACAGGCACACAGTGTGAGTTTTAAGCTGCCAGGTCCAGGACTTTAACTATGGTTGGCTATGTGGGAGTCCAGCGACATAACTATTATGCCATCTGCTGGTCCCTGATTGCCCATTTTTTAAATTGGATTGTTAGCCTTTTTGTGGGTGAGCTCTTTGAGTTCCTTTTATTCTGGTTATCAACCCCTTATCTGAAATATAGTATGCAAATATTTTCTCCCATTCTGTGTGTTGTCTTTTTACTCTGTTTGTTTTCTTTGCTGTGTAGAAGCTTTTTAACTTGTAATCTCACTTGTCTATTTTTGGTAGTGATGCCTGTGTTTTAGGGGTCTATTTAAGAAATCTTTGCCTATTGCAGTATCTGAAAGTGTTTCCTTTGCATTTTCCTCAAGTAGTTTTGTAGTTTGGGCATTATACTTAATCTATTTTGAATTAATTTTTATAAGTGGTAAAAGATAGGGGTCTAGGGACCAACAGATAGTATAATGGTTGTGTCACTGAACTCCCAGGTAGTCGACTGTGGTTTGAGTCCCAGACCTGGCTGCTTGAACTCACACTGGTGCATGTGCATGCATGCCCAAAACCCCAAGAGAAGAATGGAGGAGAAGGGATTCCAGCATGACCATCCCCTTCTTGCTCTCTGTCTCTCTCTGTCTCTCTGGTGAGCACATGTGCCCTATAGCAAAAATTTCCCTTAAAGAAAAGGAATGGGAGTCTAATTTTATTCCTCTGTAAGTGGATATTCCATTTTCCCAGGACTATTTGTTGAAAAGACTGTCTTTTCTCCAGTAGATTATCTTGTGAACTTTGCTGAAAATCAGTTTGCTTGTTGAGTTTATTTCTGGTGGCTGGACTCCTGCATGGCTGAGCATGGTTTGAGTCCTGGACCTGGCAGCTTGAAAATCATGCAGGACATGTATGCATGAATACCCAAAATCTCAGGAGGAAAATGGAGGAGAAGGGATTGTGGCATGGCAATTTCCCCAGGGGGTGATTTCTCACTTTTTCTCTCACCGTCTCTCTCTGGTGAATACATGTGCCCTATGACAAAAACCCAACATACACAAAGAAACTTCTTAGTGTTAACTACTTTGTTGAAAAAAATCTCTGTAAGCAATACTGGTTCATTTTCTTTTCTCACTTAATGCCATGTATATTCAACTATGTAATTGGGACAGTGCTGTGAACTTCGCTTTTCTGTGGATATAGGCAGAGTGAGACCCTGAAGTATAGCCACAAAGCCCCAAGTTATATCCTAAAATATATTACTTCTTTAAAAAAAGAAGAAGAAAAGGAAAAAAAAAAACACTTTCCAGACATATATTTGTCTTTTTTTCTTCTTAAAGAACTTTTAAAACTCTAAGACCTACTGACTTTTAATTAAATAAAAGTTAATCTCTTTATGGATGCTATTTATTTAATCTCTCTGTGGATGCTATTCATTTATTTAACTTGCATTCCTAGGCCTAAAAGTAAGAGTTGGGAATGAAAAAGTATGAAGAAAGTTTAGAGAAAATCCTGTATCAAATATGATCTTCCCAATCAAGAAGGAACAAGGGGACCAGTCTATGGCCTGATGGTTAAGGGAGCTAGATCCCACATGGCTGACTGCTGTTTTAGTCCCAGACCTAGTTGCTTGAAAAACTCACTTGGCATGTGGGCATGTATGCCCAAAATCCTTAAAGAAAGGCAAAGTGGAAGAAAAGAGATTGTGATGTGACCATTCCTCATGACAGGGTCTCACTCTCTGTCTCTCTGGCAAGTGCATGTGCCCAGTGGCAAAATAAAATTAAATTTAAATTAAGGAAAGTAGATCAGATTGGAAAACTAAGCCCAGTTCAGACCTCCTATTCTCAGGTGCATTTTCCGTCATGTTTTCAACCAGTACCTCACATCTGGGCGGCAGCTTCCTGTTTCACTACTGCCAGCTGATAGATTCACCCCTTGGAGAGGAAGATGGCAAGGGCAGCAGTCACTGCGATGCTGCCAGTGGCTTGGGGAACTTGCATCTCGTTAGGACTTTTCTCAGTTCTCTATTTGCCTGGCTTGCCTCACTTCCTCTACATCACATCAGAAGGCAGAATGCCAAAGCCTCTCTGCTGTAAGCATTCTGCATATCTCGCTTCACCCTTTGTGTGAGTTGTTCTTTACACATGTGAGGGTCACAGAAGTCAATAGCTCTTCCAGAATTACACAGCCAGTGGCAAAGCTAGACTCAGGTCCAGGTCTCTCCAGTTTGTGAGCTCTCCTTTTAAGCACTTGGTTCTGCTGTTTCCACAGTTTCCCCATGATCACTCAGCTGTGTTTGAGACTCTACTAGAGAGAATTCCGTGGTTCTGTGTACAGTAGTAAAAGTGGACTAAATAGAGTGCCTTTACCTAGTTACTTCTATGCCATAGCATACTCAGAACATCTGGAACTATATGAACCAGAAATGTTAAAAGTGATTATCTTTACATGGCTGCATTTCCAGTTCATTAATTTACTTTCTGTATAGTCACATATTTCTATAAAACACATATTTTTTACTTTAGAGAGATTTTTGCTAAAGGGCACATGTGCTTGCCAAAGAGACAGAGAGAGTTAGAGAGATAGAAAGTGAAAAGTCACCCCCCATGGGGGATGGCCATGCCACAATCCCTTCTCCTCCATTCTTCTCATGGGATTTTGGGCACACACCCACACACGCGCGCACCTGGCATGAGTTTTAAGCCACCAGGTTTGGGACTTGAACCATGGTTGACCAGGTGGGAGTCCAGCGGCATAACCATTATGCCATCTGTTGGTCCCAACATACATATTTCTTGTAGAATAGTAATAGGCTCAGCTTCTGTGGCATAGTTGGAAGCATACAGAGATGCCATGCTAGAGGCCATATGGCTGGACCTCAGGTTCAGATCCTCACCTAACCTGAAACACACACACACACACACACACACAAGTGAGAAGGATCCTGATTAGCCAGAGGGCTGGGGAAATGGCATTGTGGCATGGCCAGATTCTTACTCTCTATCATAAAGTAAAATAAATAAACTTGAGGCAGCAGGGTGTGTGTGGTTAAGGCAGCAGTATCCCACATGGTTGACTGATTCAAATCCCAGACCTGGAGGCTTGAAAAATGTTTCAAGTACATGTGAGTGCAAGCCCAAAATTCCAAGAGGAAAATGGAGAAGGGATTGTAGTATGGTCATACTCCCGGAAGTTGATTTCTCATTTTCTCTCTCTCTGGCAAGTGCAACACCCTATAGCAAAACTAAAAAGAGAACCTTAAAAATGGTTCATTTAAAAAAATGTAATAAAAAGGGAACCAGCAGTTAGTGTAATGGCTATGTCACTGGATTCCCACATAGTCGACCGCGGTTCGCGTCCCGGACCCGGTGGCTTAGAACTCACGCCGGGTGCGTGTGCGTGCGTGCCCAAGATCCCGAGAGGAGAATGGAGGAGAAGGGATTGCGGCGTGACCATCCCCCCTGGGGGGTGATTTCTCGCTTTCTGTCTCTATGTCTCTCTCTCTGTCTGTCTGGCGAGCGCACGCGCACTACAGTGAAAATCTCTCCCCCCCCCCAAAAAAAAAAAAAAAAAAAAAATCTCTCAAAAAAAAAAAAAAGTAATAAAAATAACAAATATATATGATAATGAAAGATTATATATACC